CACACACGCACACACGCACACACTCATACGGACTCACAAGCACTCATGCGCACTCACCTGCAGACACAGGTGATAGCGGAGGAAGCATAAGGGACCCATCACTCTCAGTGGCCTCTGAAAGCGTTGCAACGGAGGGTGACGGGCTTAAAAAGGAACTTAGCTTTTTCTTCGCTATTTCCAGTTTAATTATAAAAGTGCTTTGAAACGTACGTACTTAAAAAAATGTTTCCTTACTTTTCAATCCAACGGCTAAACATAGATTCTCATGCAGATCTTCTAATCGTCAGCAAACTTTAAAAAAAGTTGCTTGAACACGTATATCAGTGTTATTTCTGCCCATTGCTTAGGAAAGTCCTCCCGCATTTTCGTTAGGAAAATCGAGATTTGTATGCGAGGAAGAAGACACCCTTCCCCTAACCAAATGCAAGCCTGCTATTTTTGCTCTATTTCTGCATAACTTTATTGCCGCACGTTGCAACGCCCTCCCCCTCTCCCTCTCTCTCCCTCTCTTCCTCTCTCCCTCTCTCTGTCTCACCCCCTGCACAAATCGTCATTCCCGGGGGCCGCACCTCACTCGCACCCCAAAGCCCCCCTCATCAACCCCCGCGCTGCCCACTCCCGCCCCTCTGCTTGAGCCCTCCCTCAAATAAATCCCCGGCCAGCCCGCCCCTCCGTGCCCCCCACCCCAAACGCTCGCCCCCGCGCCCGCCTCCTCCATTTTCCACTTTCGTCGGCGGTGATGGTGAATTGCTGTTTCGGCATCCCAGCCCGCCCCAGCCCGCCCCTGCGTGCCCCCCCAGGTGCACGGAGGCCCCCAGCACGGCCGCTTGTGGTCCCCGAGTGCCTGCCCCCGCAGTCGGCGCCTACTCGGCCGCAGCCGTCTCCCCCGGTCTGCCCTTTAGCTGCAGTCGCCCCCCACCCCCGGGGCTCCGCAGTCTCTCGTGGAGATGACGGGCTTAAAGTCTCGGCGCGGGCGGCTCCCCCTGCGGTGGCCGCGATGGACAGGCGTAAGCGCTGCGCACGGGCTTCTGTCCACGACGAGGCGTCCACGAGCAGGGGTGTCCACAAGCTGCCCGCCGGAGACCGCTCTCAATCCGCTTCAAATCCCTTTGGTTTATTGTCGGACTGGGGCCCCGGCGCCGGCGTCCCCGCCATAAAAAAATGAGACGCGACAGGGAAACCTCAAATCATAATCGGCGACCCCACTGTCGCCTCTATCTTTCTCTCTCTCTCCCCTCTGCTTCTCGCCCTCCTTCACCCCCAAGGGGGCGCTGCTGCAGCACCGTCGCCCGGTGAGGAGGGCGGGGCGTGGCGGGGCGTGGTGGGCCTGGGCAGGAGGGGAGAGCTGTGGGGCCGGGAGATGAAAGTTGCAGAGAAGATGGAACCAATATCCAGACCTCTAGGTTAGCCCCGGGACCCCGTGCCGGCCGGGGGCCTAGCCCCTCCTGGCCTCCTGCCTCCTCCACGCTCGAGAATTAAGAAACTTGTGTTATCTCGCAGAAATTGCACACCACCTTGTGGGGGGAGCCCTAGAGGGGAAGAGGCTGAGAGGGATCGCGTTCTTTTGCTCGTGTGTGTGTGTGTGTGTGTCCCTCTCCTTTTCGGACCCAGCTCTCTTCCCGTTCCCACTCGCCCAATAAAGTATCTGTAAAGAGGTTCGCCATGAACGGTACCCCACAAAGCCACAACTTTCTCGCGTCTATACTGCCATATTGCAGCCGCCTGTGTGTGGGCTGGGGGAGAGCGGGGCTAGTGTGTGTGAGATGGAACGAGAGAGAGAGAGAGAGAGAGAGAGAGAGAGAGA